TTTTGCTTTGGAAAAGAGGGAAGAAAGGAGGAAAACAATGGATGGAGAAGAAGCTGATGTGACGAAAGAAACCAAGGAAGGAGGGCCAAATACGTCCCATACCTTTTCTGTGGATGCAGCTCCATTTGAACCCAGTGTAAACGTCTCCTCAAATTTAGCAAATGGATGGCAAGATGCATCTTCTGCTCTTACAGAACAATTATCCGCTTTGGGGGCAAATGAATCCTGGCCTTATCCGGCACAATACATCGATATGTTTGCGCTTAATGCGAGCATGAGGGCAATGGTGGAGGCAGCAGCTATGATGAACGTTGGGGCAAAAAGATACAGTGGAGCCCCCATTGTAAAGACAACAAGTCCCCCTAAAAAGGGTTCTAATGCTTCTGAGGCCTCAAGAAAAAGAGAAAAAGGGAGCCTATCGATTCATGCCAAGCCTTGGTCTCCATCTCCTGAAACTGGCCTAAATCAGAAAGAGGGAGACACATACACACACCTCAAGAAAGGCTGGGTAAAGGTTCCATACCGAGGTGAAATGGTTATTGCACCAGTTGCATTCAAAGAAATAGCTAATGATTTTGTGCATTCCCTTACCGTAAGACCTATTGAAAAACCAAGAATCCATTTAGAACTCTATAATTATCATTGTGCACGATGTGCAACGCACTCATTTTTTGGACGTTTATCTTGCAGGGATGCAGATGTGATCTTGAAAGGTATTGCCGGAGACATTCCCCCGCTATGTGTGGCACATTTGATTGAACAGGTCACGGGAGCTGTTGTGTGTGCCCTGTTTACCAAAGGTGACTGTCTCGACTATGAAATATGGTTGGAGACTCCTGATAAAGCTGCTCATTTTGCCAAAACGATTTCTGACGCAATGTGGACGTGTCCGATGTTTCACGGATACGCTGTTCACACTAAAACTGAAGAAGAAAAAGCTTTTTTACATGAATATATATCAAGCCTCAAAGATGATTTTCCGGAGGAGACACCTTATCCCATGCGTTGCGTCGAAGCGATTGCTTCATCTACTGGAAAGGTAAAAGGTTAAGTGTGAAAAATTTTCTTTTATGAAGAATGCACTCGGTAATATGATCAATGGTTTCATTTTTGCTATTGTTTATCCGTTCCGTTATCTGATTAAATTCTTGTATATTTTTTATAAATGGAAGGGGAAAAAAAAAAAGAAAATCTAAAAATATATTTTAGTTGCGTGCTTGATGTATAAATCTTTCTCGCTTTTTTGCTTTTTATCTATTTTAGTTAGAACGTAGAATATGTCTATGGATGCTTTGACAGACGTTTCCAAGACAACGGCTCAGAGAGATCGATCTGTGGCGGCAACATACACACCAGAGGAACAGGTATTTCATCGATTGTTTCATCAGATCCCATTATCAGAAAAACTAGTAGAATCTCGTCAATGCGCTTTATTAACAAAGAAAAAAAAATTTGCTCGAATGGGAACACTTTATGCATCTTCACTTCGCCTATGTTTTAGTTCTTCATTTTTGAAAGAACCGGTTATGATGCGTTGGGAGGACGTGATTTCTGTTAAAAAAGGAACAAGCTTCCTTTTTGAAGCGATTTTTGTGAAAACAAAAGGACAGGAGGAATACATTTTTTCTGGGTTTTTGTCGGGAGGGACAGGCCAAACATTCAAGTTACTTAAGACTTTATGGACAGTTCGTGCAAGATACGCCTTTTCAGAGACGCCAACGCAACTCCTACAAGCATCACAAATTGATTCCCCTTTGAAAGAACCCGGTTCTGGATCTTGTCATTCATCCGAAGCATCATCTTGTATAAATGATGAAATTACTGGGAAAAATGAGGATGAAAAGCCCACAATTACTTTAGCCCCCTTGTTAAAGCCAACCCATTCAGAATTTAATTTATTTAATCCAACTTCCGGCTTCGGCACAAATGATTTAGATTCCACTGAATTTTCTGTGGTAACTCAAGATACGGAAGAAAAGTCGTGTGGCTCTTATATCCCACGGACTTCCTCAACACCTAAAGGCGCCCTTTTGGAAAAGTTTGACGAACTACACTCTTTTTCCAAGGTTCCTAAATCAGAACCATTAATTGATTACTTTCAATGCAGCTATGTCTGTGGAGTCCATCGAATTGGGAGGCTTTATATTACAACCAACTACATATTATTTTCCTCAGTAATGATGACGGAATCGCTTCAGATTAGTTTTAGGGATGTGCAAAGTATCGAGAAGGAGCAAACGATGATGATACTGGACGGAGTTGTTATCAAACTTATTGGCAATGAAACCCATAGTTTTACAAGTTTTGTTAGTCGTGATGCCGCATTTAACATTTTGACACATTTTTTTAATGTGACAAAGGCGCTTAGCACACAACCACAGAATTTACCTCATTCTCTTCAAGAAAACTGTACAAATTCTGGGTTTATTACCAAAACCAGCGAGCCAAATGTTTCAGGATTTCCTGTTGTTGATTCACTTCAAGAATTTTCTAAAGTATTGACGGATTACGGAACGGCATTTAGTGATTTTTCGTGTTTTACAAGGGAGCTTATTGATCCCATCGTGTTACCAAAGGGCAAAACGGTCCTGGATGTATTTAAGGTTTGCTTTGACGATAATGCTTCCCTGTTGGAGGAATATCATAGGGATAGAAAGGACAGCAACCAAAAATGGGAACCATGGCGACCTGCGCAGACCGGCAGTCCTCAATTTTCTGGTCAAAGAGTATTCACTTGCACAACGACAATTAAAGCTTTGGTGTCCAAGTCGTGCCCATTCACAGAATACCAGCGGTACGCATTTATGAATGTTGGGGGTCATGAACCAACACTGGTTGTGCAGCTGTCAGGGCAAGCCGAGGGTCTTATGTATGCTGACGTTTTTCGTGCGGAGGCGTTACTGGTTTTTACTCAATCTGATTCGGGTGTTGCAATGCGTGTTTTTGGTTATATTCAGTTTCTTCGAGATGTGTGGGTAAAAGGCAAAATCCTGCGTACGTCACTTGATAACGAGATGCCAATCTGCTATAGAAAACTGGGGTCGATGCTAATAGAACGTCTTCAACAAGAAGGTGGGATATCAGGTGCAGAGGGACCCGAGAAAAGTTCCACGGAGTTGACCTCTTCGTGTGCTAAAGCGGTCTCGGGGACGCCCTTGGACAAAGCTTTGCTTCCGAGGGAGAGAGCTTTGCAATGGGGTCGTGTAGTTCTAGGATTGCTTGGGTTGATGACGTGCTTGGGGGGATTTTTCTCTGTGTTTCTGATGAGGTTTGATAGCAATGCTCATTTGAAACGAGGCACCTCTAAGGAAAATGTGCTGATGGTTCATTTAGTAGGCACTTTTTTCGAGTTTCTTCAACCCACTGTGATTTCCGTTCTTGTAGTGGGTATATTGGCATTTTATAGGTTGACCACCGATGCTTTGTTTTTCATGGAATAAATGGAAAAAGGTATAAAACTCCATATGTGGTGATGATACAGTGATCATATACCTATTTTGTGTTTTTATGTGTTTTTATCGTTTTTGATGTTCTTTAAATTAGCTTTGTGATTGGGAATGAATTATCATTTGTTTATCATTGACGCTGTATTTTTTTGCTTTTTGATAAAGAGGTCTTTCTACCTTTCCCCCCATTTTTTTTTTTCCAGTATACGGATCAAAAAGCTCAAGAGAAACAGTGATGTTTATTACCAAAACCAGCGAGCCAAATGTTTCAGGATTTCCTGTTGTTGATTCACTTCAAGAATTTTCTAAAGTATTGACGGATTACGGAACGGCATTTAGTGATTTTTCGTGTTTTACAAGGGAGCTTATTGATCCCATCGTGTTACCAAAGGGCAAAACGGTCCTGGATGTATTTAAGGTTTGCTTTGACGATAATGCTTCCCTGTTGGAGGAATATCATAGGGATAGAAAGGACAGCAACCAAAAATGGGAACCATGGCGACCTGCGCAGACCGGCAGTCCTCAATTTTCTGGTCAAAGAGTATTCACTTGCACAACGACAATTAAAGCTTTGGTGTCCAAGTCGTGCCCATTCACAGAATACCAGCGGTACGCATTTATGAATGTTGGGGGTCATGAACCAACACTGGTTGTGCAGCTGTCAGGGCAAGCCGAGGGTCTTATGTATGCTGACGTTTTTCGTGCGGAGGCGTTACTGGTTTTTACTCAATCTGATTCGGGTGTTGCAATGCGTGTTTTTGGTTATATTCAGTTTCTTCGAGATGTGTGGGTAAAAGGCAAAATCCTGCGTACGTCACTTGATAACGAGATGCCAATCTGCTATAGAAAACTGGGGTCGATGCTAATAGAACGTCTTCAACAAGAAGGTGGGATATCAGGTGCAGAGGGACCCGAGAAAAGTTCGCCACTGTTACCTTCATCACCTTCAGCAAATGCTGCGGAAGTTCTAAAGGGCTCATCTCATGTATCTGGTTTGGTATGGAGGACTGTAGTATACATAGAGTTTGTATTGGAGATACTGAGTGCACTATTATGTCTAAATTCACTTTTTAAGACTTACTTCTTTACCGCTTCAAAAGATATAGCTGGCGCTCAGATTCCTGTACTTGCAACGGGCGAGATTTCTGTTAATTTAACGGATGCTGAGCAAACATTGAATACGGAAATATTGAGTTTATTAGTTGTCGATTTACTTCGTCCCGTTTTGCTTGCATCATTACTTTGTTTGCTGTTTGTTATACAACTTTTTTTACGAAAAACTGTTTTTCGTATGAAGCGGTGAAAATTAAAAGCCCATATTAATTCAAAACAACAAGAACAACAACAACAACAGATACTATGTTTTACCCATGAAACATATGTGCTTGTTATTTATACCGTTGCGTTGGATTCCGAGGCGTCGTTTTTTTGCTTTTTCTTTTTTTTTTTTGTTGTCGTGGATATCTATTTTGAATAAGATGAGTAATGGGAGGTTAGCCAGTGAGGTGTCTTCTTCGTAACTAGAAAAATAGACTACTTTGCTAGGGGGAGGCCATGGTTTCAAATAGAAGTCTTAGTGCTCCTCCCGGTGGTGGTAGCCTTGCCAATGATAGTAATCACTTTGGTTATCGCTGGGGAGAGCTGAGTGTCGGAGGATTTTCTCCGTCACCTCCGCCATCTAACCCCTGGCCCAATAGACCGCAGACGTTTTCCAGGTATGAGAGTTCCGCCGACTGGAGAAAGAGCCCCTCATATGGTGGAAATCGCCACGGAGCCTACTTTCGCCGCAATCGCGGTGGCGCCTATGGACGTGTAAGTCATGAGTTTAATCGAGGTTATTCCAGTCGTAGTGCCAGTGCTTTAGAAGAGCAAGATCTCCCCTTTCCGCCACAGGGAAGGAATGGGAGATTCAACGCTCATCGTAGTTCCTCCACGCCAGTTTGGTCTCAGGGGCCCTCGTACCCAACATACCAGACTCCAAGCCCTCGCTACAATGGGCGCCGCTCTGGAAGCAGCAGCTCGGTTTCCAATTCCGCCAAAGGCAAAGCTGAAATACCGCTTCTTCTTGCATCGGCGTTCTCAGAAAAACAGACCACACGAGTTCGTGCTTCATTAGAAAGCAGTAGTACATTTTCGCAGGCCGGAATTAGGCTAAAACTACTTGAATACTTGGGGTATTGGATGAGTGATGTCTTAACTGGTGCGGCGGTTGAAAAACTGATTATGGAGACATATCGCGAAGCTGACCTCAAGGATACTCATACCTCAGTAGGGGAGAGAAAAAAGTATTCTTTCAGTGAAGTTTCTAATGTGATGAATACTGGGAAGATTGCAGGAGATCGCCATGTACAGGAAGGCGAAAAAGTGAACGGTTCCAACCGGGCAACATCACATTTATTGTCACCATCATCCTCATTCTCCTCATTGTCGCTGAGTTCCGTGTCATTCCATCGATCCGAGTCTAAGAACACGTCTGAAGGGGCGGCGGTAAGACGAGAGCAAGAAACACAGGGCAAATGGGAGAGAGGGACGGGAACGCACTTTAGGAGAGACAGTGGGACGGATGCAAGTTCAAACACTCCTGAAGGTCTAGTTTTTTCTTTGGTCCGTTCTTGCGGTGTGGAATCGATGGCAACGAAACAAGTTTTTTTAACTGACGAGCCGAAAATCTTGCCTCAACAGACAGCAGTCTTGCAAACTTCTTCTTTAATTCAGGCAACGTATAGTCATGTTCCACGCTTTTATTTTCCAAAGGGAGCGCAAAAAACAACGGAAGAGACACTTGTTGGGCCAATGAAGAAGAAGCATGAGAATCCACATCTAAGGGTACTGGAGGGGATGGTGATTCCAACTGCTGTCCACACAAATTCTGAGGAGCGAGCCGCCGTCATGAGCGATGATGTGTTCAAAAGGCATGAGGTCAAAAAAGTCCCAATAGCTCCACTGAAGGCGGTGGAAGATAAGTGCGTTCATATGATTATTCAAAAGGAATTTGGTCGTCTTCCAGTGCCACCCAAAATTATTCACGGCACACGCCCTCAGAGTTCAGCTGCAAAAGGATTTATAGGGCTCAATAATGGCATGCAGACAAGACAAGGATTGAACTACAGGATACAAGTAACTCAGGCGATGAAGCGCATTTGTACGCAGTGCTTTGGTCTTCCAAAGTATTTTGCCTTTCTCATAGTAAGGATTCTTCAGGCAAACGTGGATTTCGGGAATTCAGGGGTGGTAAAGTCTGGAAGAAGTAGTTCCACCATGGCATTATCTTCTCCAGCCACGGGGTCACCCTCCGCTTCTCAGACAGAAGTCATGGTAAGGCAGCTACTGGATTTCTTTGAAACGTATTTGCGTGGTCGTTGCATTGTTCGACGTGTGTTTGAAGTATTACTTCTTAGTTCTCGTGTTGCCACAAGTGGATCAGAGACATCTACGAGGATTGGTAATGATTGGAGGTTGGTGTATGATGGAGAAAAACAACAACAGAGGTCATATTTACTACCAGATGACTTTCGTGCTTATATTGAGGTTCTATTGGAACATCATCCGGGTCTCCTTTTTTTGAAACAGACTCCCGATTTTCAATCCAAATATTTAGAGACGGTCACCCATCGCATTTTTTATGACCTTGATCGCTTTAATCGTGGTCGTATTACTTATGCTGAAATGGAACGTTCTTCATTTTTAGACTCCATTCGACAAGTGGATGCAACAAATGATATCAATTCCGTTTTGCTTTACTTTTCTTACGAACACTTCTACGTACTGTACTGTCGGTTTTGGGAGCTTGATAAAGACCGGGACATGTTGCTCTCCCGCCGGGAATTTATGAATTATGCTCCAGAGGGTGTGATGAACCCCATCATCGCCGATCGCGTTTTTACTGGTGCAGGTCGTCGAAAAGCATGCACGCAAAAGGATCGAATTAATTACGAAGACTTTGTTTGGTTTTGCCTCTCTGAGGAGGATAAGTCAACACCCACAGCGATACGGTACTGGTTTCGTATTCTTGATCTTGACGGAGATGGATTACTTTCTGCGTATGAGCTGCGGAGTTTTTACGATGAGATGAAAAAAACGGTGACATCCTACGCCCCGGATGGGGCTGTGCCATTCGAGGATATTCTCTGTCAGATATTTGATATGTTTGGCCTAGAAACGTCATGCAGTCTTAGACTTGAAGAATTTTTGGCGAAACCTGAGGCGGCGGCTGTGACTTTTAACATGGTTACAAATGTGGTACGCTTTTTACAGTTTGAACAGAAGGATCCTTTTGTCACGCACCAGAATCGTCTGGAGGGTGGATTGGAACAGTCCGCTTGGGATCGTTTTGCACGTGCCGAATACGGCCGTTTGTCTAATGCGATGAGAAAAGAATGACACCACAGTGAAGGAAGTAAAGCAAAAACGTTGGAACAAAGGAAGAACGAAAAAAAGAAAAAGGAAAGGGAAAGAAAAAGGAAAATAAACTTATATATACATGTATCTTTTCCAATGGACGAGTACATGTTTATTTGTCAGTGACAATTCACATTTTTTGCTTATTATTATTATTATTATTATTATTATTATTATTATTATTATTATTATTATTATTATTATTATTATTATTATTATTATTATTATTATTATTATTATTATTATTATTATTATTATTATTATTATTATTATTATTATTATTATTATTATTATTATTATTATTTTGTTTCAAAGGATTCCCATTGGTGATATTCTGTGGAGTGCGACTGGGCGAGAAACCGAAGATGTGTGGGCATAGTGTTTCTGCCTGTGTCTGTGTGGAGATCGTTATTGTAGCACAAATATGCATATACATGTACATACGGGGTAAATAGAGAGAAGAGCGAACACAAACACACAAAGACACACACAGAAACAAGAAGTCAACGAGAAAAACGATAAAAGACAAGAAAAGAAAAAAAGGGGGAAAAGTTACTGTTTTGGTTTTGCTTTTGTTGTTGTTGTTGTTTTATGCCTGTAAATTTGCTTTTGCGGAGTGCTATATACATATATATATTATACATATGGGTGTAAATGCAAATTCCTTCTATAATCTACTCTCCAGTCTCCTATTGAATGACTTTTTTTTTTTTTTTTATACTCCCTGATTTTCCTTTTTTTCATTTGGCCGCTGAATGCAGACGAGTTCTTGCACTTTTCCGTTCCGTCAATCCTTCCGCTTTGTTCTTTGTTTCTTTTTTCACTTTTTTGGGCGGTGTCTCAGTTGCGTGCGTGTATTTTTATTGTGGAACCTTACTCCGCCCTTTTCCTTTTTTTTTCCTTTTTTCCTCTTCTCCCTTTTTATTCATACTTGGCCTACTTTTGTTGCACTTTGAGTTGCGGAAGCGGGCGTCGTGCGAGAACGACGAAAAAACAACAAAAACAATAAGACGATAAAAAAAAAAAATTAGCCTTTGCTGAAGATGTCTTACGCCTTTCTTATGGTTTTTGTTCAAATTTTTCTTTTTTTTTTGGAATGATTATATATATACAAATGCAGTCCAACTGTATATGTATGTATGTGTTTATGCATGCATCGTACTCTGGTTTTAGAATACGCATGTGTGTGTGTCTATGTGGTGCCGCAAAAATCTACTCACTGGCGGCGTCTCAAGGCGTAGCCGTGGGTTGTGCATCGGCGGCGGTGACGGGGAGTAAAAAGGAACGATTGATGAGAAATGAGTAGGATGGAATTTGTGTGTGAACAAACCTTTTTTTCTTGTGTTTTTGCCGGATTTATTATTATTATTATGCATGCAACAGTTCATATTTGTAATGTGGCCATTTTCTTTTTGTTTTTCCTTTCTTTTTCTTCTGCGGTGTGTTTTTCAAACTTTTTTTTTCTTTTCCTTTCTGTGAGAGGGGGTGGGGTGCACCCACCAAAGGAGTACAGTCAAAGAGAGAGGGAAACCGAGAGAGCAGGGACCATATTAATTTTTGCGTAATTTTATTTTTTATTTCTTTTAAAACTTAAAAAGGATTTCTCTGAAAGAAGGTACGGCTGAGTAACGAATGCGGACCGTGCGACTAACGCTTAGTACGGCAACGGCTTCTGCACCACCATTGGTGAAGGAAGCCGGAAAAGTGGCTGCAGCTACGACACCAGATAAGCCGCGACGCGAGTTTACATCGTTACGTATTCAACCATGGCAGAGAAATTGTTTGGGGGCGTCGCGCGAACAAATGCTTCCGTCCTCACTGTTGTATCACGGAACCCACCTGGGTCCGCGTCCCCTCATCATCCTTGATCATACCACGAAAAATACTGCGGAGGCGGCTTTGGCAGCGAAAAAATATGAGGCTGTACTTTCTCAGCTTTCGTGGGAGTACGGTGCTGTGTATATTCCACTTCATGTGGATTTCCCGTATACGACCAGTGGTTTAATAGAACAGACATGTCAGCAGGTATGTGCTGTAATGGATGCGCTTGATGTGCACTGGACACATTTTCTGACGTATTCCTACGGATGCCTCGTCGCTGCTTACATGGCGGCATCAGAAGGGTTTCCGCATCGTATTGGAACGTTTATCTCTCTTGATACGCCGTTAGTCACTCGTGAGTTGTTACAGAACATGGAGCAACGTGAGGAAATTGCCAAAGCGGAGAGAGACGTTAATGTACCGGAGGCAAACTTATCTTTTGCGAAACACAACTTAATTTCGTCACTGGAGGAGCCGTTGCCTTGTCCTGCTGAGGCAGATAAGAGCCTGTACTATGATTACCTTTTTAACCCCGCGGAAATCTTCCAATCCGACGGACTTGTTCGCTGCGAGGAGCGTTATGTGCCGGTAAAGCATCTTGCTGACGTGCGTCACCCAATGCAATTGGTGGTTCCTTCTGCTAACGCGCTGGCGGACGTGACGGTGCACAAGGAGTTTTTTGGCCTGCGTCGTCCTGTCGTTTTGAAAGGATGCCAGCGTCACGAGGAAATATTCCGAGATGAGAGTGCGAAGGAAATTGCAAAGGTCCTCGAGACATGGTTGCAGCGTTTTGAACCAGATGCTTACATAGCGAAACGGTACGAACAGGCCGCAGCGGAGATGTCGCAGCTGATGATGAGCTCCGCCCCGGCCACCACACAAGCGGATGGCGCGGAAGGAGGGGATCAACGGAAGAAAAAGAAGGAAAAGAAGAAAAAGGCGTAGGTGTTGTACTCACACATGCATAGTGGGTGGGTAAGTGCAATGTTTATCTGAGGGTGTTTTTGAGGGGCAAGGGACGATGTGTCATTTTTCTGAAAGGGGGGACACGAAGCACCACCTCTGAGCTGTAGGGAAGTTGTAGAAGGAATGCAGGGAATAGATAGATGACGGCATAACCAGATTTTGTCTCTTCCACCCTCTTGTCCTCTCTCTCTCTCTGTGTGTGTGCGCCTTTTATTTCAGGGATGGATGAACGAATATCTGAAAGTTAGCATCATCGACGCTTGTAAATTTTATTGTTGTTGTTTTTTGCTCTTTTCTGTGGCCTACTTATTTGTGTTTCATCTTTACCAAGGATGTTCATTGATGCCGCTGCCTTTTTTTCTTTGTTTATCATTGTTTCCTTTTGCCTTTCAACAAGCCATCCATAAAAGAGTACATAGGAAGCACCATCGTCATCTACAAATATTCCACATATATATATATATATATACATTTGCATTGCTTTTACTAATACAATTGTTTATTTGTTTGTGTGTGTGTGTGTGGGCTTGAGAAAGGAAATATCGATCTTATTCATTGTAACGGAAGTGAAGAGGTTTCTTTGTGTGTGTGTATGATTGAGGAATAAGATGGAGGTTCCTATCTTCTCTCCCCACGGTTATACCGGCTATGCGAAAAAGGTCTTTGGTGAAGATTGCTATGTGTACGGCCCAACGACAGAGCATTGCGAAATTTTATTATCGAATGTTGATGAAGATGTCTCGCTCCACATCGATGGAGGCACGCCCACCACGGCATACGCCAATGATGTCGCTCTCTTGGATAGCTGGATGATGACGCCTGTGTTAATCTCATCGTCAGGATTTGTAACTATCCGACGTGTTCAGGCTACCGGAGGCAAGGGCGCAGTGTCCTCCAGAGGCTCTGGTGTGTTGCCACCCGTTAGCACTCGAGGAGGCAGTGGGAATTACGGGGAGCTATCGTTTCACACCACTGCCTCTTCACCGGTTGTGGCTCCTTCTTTGCCTCTCGGTGTCCTCGCCCCCATGACGCCGGTTATCACCTGCAGGGTGAGCACCAAGTGCTGGCCCAGGGTGTTTCCTCACGGAGATAATAGCACCGATACGCAGCTCGTGCAGTATTTTAAGGAAGCCGTGGTGGTTTCTGTGAGAACGATGCGTCTACTTGGCGTGGAGGAGGGTTCCATGGTTCAAGTTGATTTTCACAGTGAAGCATCAGTGCTGGCGGCGTCAAAGGTTGTCTTTTCAGTGACCTCGGACTTTGTTGGCGAGGAGTTTTCTTTTGACAGTTGCCTGCGCCACTTTATTGCCCCCTTTTTTCTTCAACGATGCCGTGCCATCAGTGTCGGGGAAGAATTTGAATTCAAGAACCATGATTACGGCCAGCTGCACGTCACGGTGGTGGCTATTGAAGACGGACTGTTGAAGTGTGGGCTAGTGGTAGATTCCACGTGCATTCGTCTGGTTGCTCAGCCCGAGGCACCGCCGAAGCTTCAAGGCCATGGCAGCGGTCGCGTGTCAGAGAGCAGCACTCCACGAATGCGTGTTCCCTCTGCTCGCAAGAGTTCGGGCTCTGTGAGGGGGTCTTCCTTGCCGCGGAACAGCCATTCCCGTATGTCAGAGGCATCGCCCCGTCCAAAGCTTCCGCCTGGCGCGCGGTCCTCCACATCCGGGAAGCCTCCCCCCATCGTGGGAGGGCCACCACGCGTACACGAACCCTCGCCTCGGCGAGCCTCTCGAGATGTCGAGCCGCATGGGGGCATCGCATCATTTTCGGCGTATTCACCCCAAACATTTGACGCCAGCCCGACATTGATCATAAATCAGATGCATTCGCCCACATCATTCACCGCTTTAAAGGTTGCAAGGGCTGACAGGGCGCCAGACGATGATGCGACAGCGGCCATCACTATCGGTACCACTGTTACTGCGGCTTCTGCTCCCGCTGATGTTTCAAAAGTTGCCGTTGTTAACCCCGCTGCTCGCACTTCTCCCTCCTCCACAGTACAGGATAGCGATGGAGTAAAGATACCACCAGTGCCAAGTCCACAACATCGCGACACGTTACCCACGACCGAACACGCACCCGACGCAATCAACCCAAGCAACTTTGCTACGGAAAGCCCAACTGAACATTCCGTGTCTTTTTTGAAGAAGCCTCAGGAAACGGAGAGCGCCTTACTTCTCCAGAGCAGTGTGGACTTCCTTGAGGTTGATCCCCAAGAGGACCTGGAAGCGAGGAGGTTTGAAACGCATTCTTCACGGAAGTCCGAGACGAATTCTGTGGACAATATGGCATCGGCTGCATCATCGCCGACAGGAGGCAGTTGGTCTCAACGAGAGGTGCATTCAGCGATATCAACAACAGAGCGGCGCATTGTGGCCTGCTCTGGAAACTTAAGCGTTGCCACACAGCATGACGCAGGGAGCGTTGAATTCCGCTCAGTTGAAGTCCAAACGGACCGTGAATCTCCAGTAAAGGAAATTGTATGCGATATCTCGCTGGGGAATACTCAAGGAGCACTTCAAGAGCCGACCGAAGCAGCTCCACGGCAAGACGAAGACGAAGAGGAAGGGGGAGCAAAGAACGTCCTGGGTTTGAGCAGCATTCATCTTCCCCATACGGTTTCCAATCTAACTGTGTCGTCGACGAGGCCGGCGCTTGAGAAGTATGGCATGGGCACACGTTGTGAGAAACGTAACGAAGAGATTCATTCATTGGAGGCTGAAGAAGAAGGCGTATCAGGCAAAGACAGCGCCGCAGAGCCCATCGCAGATGATTTTAATGAGGCTTTGAATGGGAAATCGCAAGAGTCTGCTTGGAGTGTGCCGAACCAGGAAGAGGAAGGAAAGGGGCCAAAAAATGACTTTAGTTCAAATGATGCTTTCAAAATTCTAACACATCACAGTGGCTCTACGAAAGCCACTGAGATGCAGCTGGAGCAGCCCCTTACTGTGACGAAGGATGTTGCATTCAGGGCTGGCCGTTTTGTGGAGAAATGGCTGGATGTGAAGGCAAAATGGCAGGGACTTTCCATCAGCCATTTACTGAAACGTGAGTCGAGTGCCGTCATCCAAGAGTTCCAACATTTTCTTGCTCTCTACAAGGAGCTCAAGCAAAGGCACGCGGATTATCTTGCATACCTTGACTCCCCGTATGGACACACAGTGCGGGGGGATCTGGTTCTCCGAATATCGTTGCTTGCGGCATCGAACATGGAGGGCGATGGCGGCGGTGAGATAAAACCCCCGTGGAGACCTGCGGAATTGCGTGGTGAGAGTGCTGAAACGCCCAGTGAAAAGGCTAACGACGATTTCAAAAACAACAATACTTGTGACGCGAACAGCAAGTCATGTGCGGCGGCTCTGGCGACGGAGCTTTTGAAGTTAAGTGTGCGTGAAGTAAGTGCCAAATTGGGGTGTGGCGTTTTGCACATATTCCGTGTGGGAGGTACTTGCCCTGCGCTGTACTGCACTCTCATGAAGCCATACGCTGACGGTCCGGGCGAGATTACACTCATGGGAGAGTCATTTCCAGTGGAGGTGCTACAAACGACCATCTTGGAGGATCTGTGTGAGGCACGTGAGGAGAGTCGCCGTGACTGGGTTCAGCTCTCCACGCTATGGAAGGAAGCCATTTCTGGTGTCCTGCAACACGGTGTCTTTACGAAACACATGCAAAAAGTGCGGCAATTGTTTTTTGAGCTCGCTTTCTTACTACACTGCCCTGGAGAGATACGGCTCAGTGTCAGGTATCAGCGACACATGGACCCTTTTCCGCCCAACAGCGCTGAATGCGTGGCCCAGACAGAGAAGACGGAGGGCGATTTTAACCTCACAGGAACATCCAACCGGAGTCCGTCCACAACGAGTTCCACGGAAAGAAAGGCCGCTCTTTCAAACTTGTGTAAAGAATTTCTTCCACACCTGCAAGAACTACAGGACACCTACTATCTGTATTTTGAGCTTCTTGAGCCTTTTCTTCTGCATTCAATGCAACATCTGGACACGGTTTCGACTCTCACAGACGCGATGAAATGTGAAGAGTTGGTTGATTTCCTGAAAGTAAGTCATGAGGCACAGATGTTGGAGCAGCGAGCAGAAGAGACTGGGACACCCTTGCCATTGGCCGTTGTGGAAGAGGAGCGAGCGGCTTTTCTTAAATTGGTGGAAGCACGAAAGGCAGGTGAAATTATGCCGCTCCCCCAAGAGTGGTGGGAGGCTGACAACTTGAGCAGCAAAAACAAATTTCCTTAACGTTTTTTTTGGCAGCGAGATTGTACTTGCATGACAACCGGAAACAGAAACAACACGAGAAGGCATTTTATGAATATCCATACAACAATAACAAAAAAGAGCGTCTTTCTCTTTCGTCTTCCTTTTTTTTTTTTTTTTGATTTGCTGTCTTGTCGAGCAGTTATCATTATCGTTTCTTTGTTGTTTGATATTCTTTATCGCTTTTTTTTTTTTTAATTTGCTTCAGATCTCATCAATACTGCTGTTTTTTTTTTTTTGCCTGTATTTGTGTGTGTTTATTTGTGAAATTTTTTTTTTTGTTTTTCATACCTTTGATGCAATGGGCATGCATGTGCTTCTGCCTGCATTATTGTGCTATTTCTTGGGCGAGAGGTATGCGGCAGCCCAATGATGATAAGGGTGTAGAGGACCGTGACAATTGAGAGGGGAGGGATGCTGATGATTGACGGAAAAGAGGAGGGGGAACCGAAGAAGACAAAAAACAACAACAATAAAAAGAGAGTGGGAGGATCCTTTCTCTCCTTTTTTTATGCGTGCATGTATGTATGTATTTAATGCGTGTGCGTGTGTGTGTGACGTCTCCCTTCAACGTGGGTGACGACGACTGCCACACTTGACGTGACGAGTATTGTGAGGGACATGATTCTTCTCAAGACACACACACACACACACACAAAATGTATATATACATGTATACATTTATCTTTTTGTTTGTTTGTTTTTGTGCCATGCGGTTCTTCTTCTCCTCCCTTTTTTTTTTTTTTCTCTCTTATCGGTTTGGTTCATAGTAGTAACATGACGGGTGTCTTCCTTCCTTTTCTTTGTGTGTTTCTTTCTTTTTTTTTTTTTTATTTTGTGTGTGTGTGTGGGAGGGGTTTGCCCGTGAGAGCTGCATGTTTTCAACGGGCATCGCCACCACCTCCTTTTTCCCTGTTCCCACGTCTATTAGATGACTCATCGCCTGCTCCGCATGTCTGTCTTTTTCTTTTTCTTTTTCTTTTTCTATCGGTGTTTATGTTTTCCTCGCACTTCGCACGGCGACGAAGGAACGGGAAAAGGAGCCGCAAAAGGCTTTAAAAAAAGAAAAAGGATTAAAGTATTATTTCATTATTATTATTATTTTTTTTTTGGCTTTACTCCCACTCTGCTTGTGGCTCGTGCGTCTTGCAGTGGTTGGAGACACGCGTAAAAAGGGGTGCGTGAGGAGGAAGAAGAAAAACAACAGGGACAATCGAAGCACCGGAGGGTCAGGCATAAGTAGGAGGAGGGCGGTTGGCCGCAGTTTAGGCATCTCATTCGCCTGGGAGCTAAGAGGGGGATAGGAAAAAAAGAAGAACGAAAGCAACAACAGAAACAACAAAAACACAAATCTCCAACAAAAGGAGGAGCAAAAACGTGGATTTGACGCAAAAACAAACAAATAAACGAACAGAAGAACACAGGCATGTCAGATACAGCAGACCTGGTGGAAGAAATGCCCGCCGGCCGCGACGGTGAGCTTCAACAGCCGTCCATGGAAGAACGTCAGCCGGTTCGACGAATAGTGCCTGAAATATTTTTTGAAACACAGAATTACTACCAGCCACAGCCGCAGCCGCAGCCGCAGACGATCAGCCGGCGCACCAACGGAGGGCGCATGCGTCTCGATGGCAAACCACCAGAGGCACCGCAGATCCAGACGCCGGTACAGCCTGCTGCTGCCCCGCGACTACTGCAATTGTCAAGGAGGGGCAGGGGGCCAGTATTGGAGAGAATGAAAATAAGGGCTGCCTCAGAGGCGTCTCGTGAGAATGGATCGGGCGGGAAAGCTGCAGTGCAACAAAAGCGATTTTCTCGTGGTGGCACAGCGACTCGACGTTCTCCTCATGGCGATGGGAGGTATGGTGCTTACGGAAAACTTCTTCGAGATGCGGCAAGGGAGCTTGCGATGCGGTCTCCTAGCGGAGTTCGGTCGGCAGATGGAGGGTCACCGGCTAGTTCTGCGCGAAAGAAGGAACGCGGTCGCTCCAAAACGGCTTCTTGTGGTCGTGTTTCTCCTGAGGCTACACCCACGATTCATTCCTTTTCTGTTTCCGCGAGAGGCAGTACATCGCGTGAACGAAGACAGCAGAATGTATCTGCGACCAAAGACAGCCCTGGGGACATTGGGGAAGCAGTGGCAACTGCTAGCCGCAATGGCGGGAGGCAAAGCAGCTCCTCCGTCTCTGCTTTGCGGCGTGTGGTGCACCAGCCGGGCCCCATTAGACCAGAGAATGGATGTGTCTTACCTTTACCCTGCCAGATGGCGAGAAGAAAAGTGGGTCATGGTCGTCTGATAGTCTTTGATGATTTGCTTTGGAAGCGCGAGAAAGAGCACCGATGGCCTCTTCCCAACGGGGAAACAAAAGTGATTGCTCCATCTCGTGTCCCTCAGCTGACTACCGAGGCACCGGCGCTACCTGCAGTGCTGGAGGTTGCGCTTGCCGATCATTACCTTGCGGTGCTTATGACATGCCCACAGTCAGAGGTGGAACGTGTCGTCGCGAAGCTCTCGCCAAATGGCTTCTCTGAGGTGGTGCAGTACCTGCGGCAAACGTACAGCGCTTACTTTTGCCCCAACACGCGAAATTACACATCCGTTCAACCACAGCCAACTCAGAGTGCTCAGCGAGCAGAGTGGTTGATAAAACACCGTCGTCACGTGCAGGGCAGAACGCGCTCTATTGCGTCTGGCAATGCGAAGAAGAGCAATGCAAACGGAACTTATAATCCGATTTCAAAGGAGGTGCGCCAGTTCTTAAAGCTATTCACGCGGGAGGTATGCATGACGTTCATGGATGAGGGGTTCGCAGCGTGTACGATGCGTCGCGAACGTGCGAGGGCAGAGCAGCCACAAGAGGTCCAGGCTCGTGGAGTGCCACTACCGGCAGATGTGTTGGATTCTTTATACAGCCAGGTTGTTACTCAGCTGCTCTTCCAGATTCTCGGGTGGACTGAAAAAGAGGCGTCGCGAGTGTTACAAACGGTGGTGCGGCAAATAAAGCGATGCTTCCCCCCTTCTCCCAACCTAAGCCCGCAGATGTGAATAGGGAGTTGAATATTCCCCTTTTCCGCTTCTCCGCCCAGAATCATGGATGCGGCAACACGTAACACCATATTTAAAATACACTCAATGAAAAAGTAGGAGCGCTAATGTTATAGAGAGAGAGAGAGAGAGACAGCAGTGCGCTTGGGGATTGTATGTGGGCCCGTGTGTGGTTAGTGAGGGGGTTATGGGAGGATTTTTGGCTGGCGGCAAAGAGGGACCGGCTCATTGCGTAAAAGTAACAACCGAAAGACAGGGAGTCTGAGGCAAAGCAAGAGGGGGAGGAAATAAATAAGGAAAGAAAGAGAACGGTCCCTAGTGAGGAGGACGGAAAGGAGGCGTATGGTGAGCCAACATGGAAAACACCGCCGCGTTGTGTGCGTTGACATGATTAAGTACACCGACGTCTGAGTATTTTGAGTTGTATGGATCTTCCCGCTGTGGACGACAAGACGACGTGGCAAGGCATACACACACAGACACACAGACAGACAGAGAGGGGGAGAGGGAGAAAGCAAACTAAAGGGCTTCTCGAATTCCTCCCCTTCAACTCCTCCTTGTTTTTTTTTTTTTTACTTTACACGCACACACGCACGGAGTGACAACGACAACAACAAAAAAGGAAAACAACAAAAAAACAAAGAAGAAAAACGAAAAACGAAGAAATGTGATGAAAAGGAAATTCCTGAAATGTGGCGATAGAAGGAAACAGAGGAAATTACACAAAGAATTATCTTTTTTTTTTTTGTCTTCATAGTATGGATGATGAAAAAAACATGAATGGAAAACAAGAAGAAAAAAAAAAAAAAGGAAAAAAAGAAACTGGTAACTGAAAGAAGAAAGGGATGGGAGGTCAATGATACTTTGGGGGGCGGGGGTGGTACTGGAAAAGGAGGAGAGGAGAGAAGGATGAAATGAATCGTGAAGTGCAGAAGTGTGAACGCATTTGGACGACAATAAAATGTCTTTCTCCGTGCTGTGTTCGTGATGGGCGGGTAGGTGGGACTTGTTTGTCTGCTCTCATATTTTCGTGAATAAAGGCTTGTGGCAGGGAGCACATGTACTTATATATAATATGTACGTATGTATGTATAGAGGCATGCATAAGCATATGATAAAAGAGGAACTGCTCTGCGTGGTTTTTCTGTTACACGCTTCCCATGTCTTCTGCGGTTAAGTGTACACCCTTCCACACAATGGGTGGGGTGCGAGCGCGGAGACGCTGTGAAAGAACGAGAATGAAATTTGAAAAGAATGACACAAGCACATTTTATTTATGCATGCATGCACCGATGAAGTACGCGGCAAACCACATTAGAGTAAAGAAAAGCAGAGAGCGGCAGAGGTATGAGGGAAGTGGGTAGGGAGGGAGGGGCAATGACACTGACATTGAAGCTTTCTATTCTAATAGCTATTATTATTATTATTATTTTTTATTTTTTTCTTGGCTGTCGGCGTCTTCGGTCTCTCATACAAATAGGCTTTTTTTTAATGTTTTTGCTTTTTTATTTTCTCTCTCTCTCACTCTCTGTGTCTGTCTGTGAGTGTAAGTCTGTGAGTCTCTTTGGTTGTGTAATGTATTTAGTGATGAACGTAAGTGTATTTGTTTTGTGGTTGTTGGCCCCCCCCTTTTTTTTTTTTTGTTTGACTTCTGTAGGAGGGGATTTGGGGATTTGGGGGGGGGGGGCAGCGTTTTCTCTCCGCGATGTACAGGGCCGCACCTGCACACGTGCACATTGCACGCACTTTACATAAGTGGTCATCCCCTTGCTCGCCTGTCCAGTGAACCACATGTGCATAGAAAGCAGGGCAGGAGGGGGAGGCCGCGAATTGGGCCAAACTTCGCCACTGAGAGCCACCCCTTCTCCTCCTCCTCCTCCCTTCCTTTTCTTTTTTCTTTTTGCTTTTCTTCCCCTGTTATTGTGTTTTTTTTTTTTTGTCTTGACGGTCTTCACGGCAGCAAAGCAGGGGAGGGGAGCGGCGGCAGCAGCAACGCACAGACAGACCCCGAGAGGAGGAGAAAAACCGCCAAAAAAGAAAAAAAAAGGGGGAGTGGAAACAAAAAAATTCTTCCCGACATGAAAAAACAAAAACAAAAAACAAAAGAAAAACAAAAACGAAACGAAGTGCCAGCCGTTTTTTCTTTTTTTTTTTTCTACTGCTTTTATGCATTTTCCTTTTTCTTTTTTTTTGCTTCCTCACATACGCGTTTCACTTTGTTCCGTATATATCCATGCAAAATGATTGCTCTTTTTGTGCCCACTGCCCACGCGGAGGACGCCAAGCACCACTGTCAGCGATGGGCTCTCAGCATTGGCATCCTTTTCCCCTGCCGCCCCCCCATTTCACTCACACATTCTCTCCTTCTCTCGCAGTAAAACGTCTTGTAAGGGAAGAGAAATCCATCAACCAGGTAAAGGAAGGGGAAAAGAAACACACACGAAAAAGGTGGGGAGGCGATAATGACCCAGGTTCAGTTTGAGGCTGCCGTGAATTACGTGCGATCGCTTCCGAAGGATGGTCCCGTGCAGCTGTCCAACGCGGTGAAGTTGGAGTTCTACGCGCTGTTCAAGCAGGCAACGGAGGGACCTGTCACGGGCGCGCAGCCGTGGGCGGTGCAGTTTGAGGCCCGTGCGAAGTGGGATGCACGCAACGCCATTGTTGACATGTCCAAGGAGGAGGCGATGCAGAAGTACGTGACGCGGCTGGTGGAGGTGACGAAAGAGACGGGACACCCGTGGACACCGCCTCAGTAGGTGAACGAGCCGGTGGGACGGCGAAGAACAATAAAAAAAAAAAGAGGAAAAGAAAGCAAGGAAGGGAAGAAGACGTATCGCCGTGATGTGAGAGTCGTGGGCGATAAGAAAATGATTAGAGAAAAGGAAGAAACAGAAGCAACAAGCAATAAAAAAACATTACATGATTTACATTAACGCCAAAAATGACGGACATTGAGGTTCCTGCACGGACGCCAAATGAACGAACGGAAAACGCCACTCGGTGTGTTGTCTTTATTAGGGGAAAAAGGAAAAAAAAAAAAATAACGTGACGGGGAGGCACTGCGGTGGCGGAGGAGAGAGAGGGAGGAGGAAAATGTTGGACGTGCTTTATGCGTGCCTTCTTTTCCCCACTTTTTTTCCTTTTGTTCTGTTTTCTCTTTTCTCCTGCCGATAGGAGGACACGAGAGAAAAGGAGGCAGCGTGACATGTAAGTTCTACATGAAAGAGGGTGAGTGAGGGGGCTGCTGCCAGTCGGATGTGTTGTGCGCCGTGAGTTTTGCGCGGGTCTTTCACGCGTGAGGGCGGGGCAGCCACACGCATCCCCCGGTGACCCTCTGACTCGGGGAGAAGGGCGAAAGGGGCGAAAAGGGGAAAGGGCAAGTCGTTGAAAGGAAATAAATAAATAAATAAAAACGAAACGAAAACGGGAGGAAAGGGGAGACACAAACCGAAAAAACAGTGGAACAGCAACAGGGAACTCAAAGAGAGAAAAAAGTAAGGAGACCCATAAGAACTTCCCGCTCATTATTATAAGGAGAAGACAGTGAGGGTTTAACAAACACAGACACACGGCGGGAGATGTCGTTTGAGATAGACGCCGAGACGCTGCACTGCATTGTCACAGAAAATATGGAGGGCCCTTGCCTCCTTAAGAGTTTCGGCGGTTTGCCTGGGCTGGCGAAGAAGCTGAAGGCAAATCCCTTTCGTGACCTATCGGCGGAGGACGAAGAGGAATTGCAGACTCGTCGTGCGGCGTTTGTTGTCAATGAACTGCTGCCTGCGGAGGAGGTGACTTTTATGGATTTTGTGTGGGACAGTCTCGGTGGTCGAAAGATACAGCTTTTGGTTGCTTCGGCTGTGGTGTCATTTGTGATTGGGTTTACTTTGGCGGACGCAGGCACGGGGAGGGTGGACTCCGCACGCGGCTGAAGGGATGGCTGCGCCCTCCTCCTCTCCGTCACTCCTGTGATACATGTCAGTAACCTCGACAACTATCAGAAGGAGCAGAATTTTAAGAAGCTCATGCGTGTTGCACCGGCTGCGCGCGTGACAGTCGTTTGCGCCTGGGCTGTTCTGGAGAAGACAGACAAGGAGCTCCTCGTTGGGGACCTTCTTGCAGTCTCGGGTGGTGACTTTTTGACGGTCGACGGCATTATTGCGTACAGCAATGCGCTCAAGGTTGACGAGGCTTCGGCGAAAGGTGAGAACTCCGATGTCGCAAAGGACTCCCTCACAAGTCCAATTTTTTTTTCCGGATCAGACGTCGTGGAGGGAGACGCAACCGTCCTTGTGACAGGCGTGGGTGTCGACTCCTTTGCCGGCCGCATTGCAATGCAGATACGCAAGGAGAAGGAGGAAGCGCCGTCGCAGGAGAAACTTGCCCTTCTTGCAGATCAAATTGAGAATGGTGGGATGATGGATGCGGCTCTCATGTTTATTTTACCGAGTCTCCGTGGGTCGTTTCAGGCCGTTGTTTTGGGGCAGCATCCGCTGCATGACAAGCGGTTTCTCAACAACCTTACAACGGCCGTGACGATTGTCGTGGTTGCTGCGGTGCCGGGGGGACTGCCGCTCTCTGTCACCATCGCTTTGGCGTACAGCGTGAAACAAATGTTTAAATAGAGGAATTTGGTGCGTCTTCTCGTGGCGTGTGAAGCAAGGGAGGTGCCACCACCATCTGCACGGGCAAGACGGGGGCACCAGCAAAGAAAATGAGATGACGGTGACGCACGGGGAAACGGCGGAGGGCGCCGTCTTCACATTGACCGGCTTCCGAAACGCCGACGAGAGAACATTGGCGAGGGTGCTTGGTTCCCCGTCTGACGTTGCGTGAGGCGGCACGAAATGTGGTACTGGCACTGCGGGTGGTCTTTTTTTTTGTACTTATCCTTCTTATTGATGCATGAAGGGCAAGTGATGCGTGGTTTTTCCTGTCGCAGTGCCGCGGCTCTTGAAGTACGCCTGAAATGTTATTGCGGGGGGTGTAAGCTGCGCTGAACTGCGCAGATGGGCACTAATTTGTGTTTTATTTCGTCTAGAGTGCCTGATTTCCACGGCATTTGCCTGAATTTGGGGTGCCAACCGATGTGTTGCTTTTGCTTTTTCATTTTTGCGCTAAATGTTGCACTTTTTAAAAAAATTTTTGTATGCATGCATACTTGTCTACCTGCGCCATCGCTGCTCTTTCCTTCTCTCTCTCTCTCTCTGCGGTTTTGTGTGTACAGGTATTGTGAGGGAGGAGCGGGACAACGCGGTGAATATGCGCCCAGCGATGGGTGGCAATGATGGTGGTGGTGGGCATGTCACCGTTGCATTAAACCTCTCGGCAGGCCGCTGTACCGCGGCGGAGAACAACCAGCAACGCAGCACAATATGCGTCGTCCACAGCGACCCGACAACTGGCGATCCCGGCGGCTTGGCGATGAGAATGCCGTGTGTGTGGGCAAAGACGGGAGGCGAGGAGGAAGAGGCTGAAGGGGGAAACAATAGTTTGGCTGTGCGTACACCGTTTCTCACGGCAGAAGGCGGCGAGGCAGGAGCGCTTCCTTACGCGGCGTACACATGGGAGCTGGCGAGACATGTGGCAACTGCACTTATGCAGAATGGCGGGGCAGAGCTGCTCACCGTCACTCATGGGGCCTCAGGCAGCGGGAAGTCCATCCAGCTTTTTGGTCCTACCGTCGGTGATGGTGTCGCTGGGATTGAAAAGGGGCGTTGCATACACGGGAATGGCAGTGGTCTGTTCGCTGCGGTCCTGCAAGAAATATTTGCCGCTGCGGATTTTGACCCATGTGTGGCCCTCAGCGTCGTCGAGTGCAGGCCCTCTTCTGACGGGGACGATGACTCTCATCCCTGCAATGGGACGATGGGACACATGAACGGTGATGATGACGATGATGGTGATGATGAAAGGATGATGTCTATTGAGGCCATCGACCTGCTTGCACGAGCCACTGATACTCGTTCTCCTACAGGCTGCTTCATGGAGGATTACGCAGACATCCCCGCCACGCGCTACGTTCGATGCGGCAGCGTCACAGAAACCCTGGCCGTGCTGCGGGCGGCACTCTCTCACTCGCTTGCCTGGCAGTCAGTGAGCACGGCCCTGAGTCAAGGGCACGCTGATGTCTTTGGAATGCCTGATACAAGATCAAATGCGGAGCGACGACGTCGTGCGGCGGAGGCAATAGCGGCAGAGGAGCGACAGCGAAAGGAGTTTTTCGGAGCTTCATGCACCTTGAGTGGTGCTGAATTTTTACGTCCAACGGCGGGTGCAAGTTCTCATGTTCTTCTGACGCTTCTACTTCGTTACGGCGATGGTGTGACGAGTATATGGCGTGTGTGGGACTTGTCGGGTCCCACCGTATGGGTCGATGACGGGAGTCCCGCTTTGCGAATGGCCTTTAAGACACACGTAGCACTTTCACTTATGGCGCACCGCTACATGCACCGAGACCGGCTTCAGGGTGGATGGTGGAATGCCATCCCTCCGCCGGAGCAGATTGAGGAGATCATTCCACTTTTTTCAACATCCCGGCCTGGAAGAAAGGGAGTGGACGGGGTTGTCGCCATGATTGAGGCAAGTATACAGCACTCATGCTCCGCTGTCGTTTGGATTGCCTCGCTGCGATTTGACGCCTGCTACGATGACATCAATTGGGAAGTGCTGGAAGCCGCGGCGTCTCTTTTGGCGGGCTCCGACGAGACGAATGGCAAAGTCATCGCAGAGCTGCGGCGCAGGCGGCGGCAGGAGAATTTAGATGCCGCTGCTCGTGTGCTGGACATGTTTGCGATTCCCTTTTCGCCTCCAGCGTGGCGGCTGCAGGGTCCTGCTGGCAGAACACTTCTGAATCTCTCGACATCATCCCCCAATGCCTCTCCTCCAATGACAAGAACGACGATAGCAACGGCGGCGTCTCGAGAACTCCGCCTCATCTCCCCGAAGAGGGAACCGGAAAAGGGAGTGATACCGGCGCCGGAGAAAAACATCAACTCCATTGTTTCTTCTGCGGGTGCCGCTCTTATAGAGACCTCTGCGACGGTTCACAATTCCTCCGTCCTTCCCCTGTCTCTTCCTTTGGGCACAACCACCGTCGCTGCCGCTGATGTGGGGATTTCTCCTTGGGCATCATTTGTTGATAAAGTGCCATGTCTGGAGGCTCAGTGTCTCCACAGAGGCCAAAGACCACAAAACGAGCTAAGAGAGCGGCGACGGGAGTGCGAAGGCCAGGGATGCTCATCGCAGTCCGCACTACCGCTACCATCACCGTCGTTATTATCACCGCCTATGCCGTCGTATGTGTCGTCATTGGGTGACGAGGCGGGTGTTCGTACCAAGAGTTCATGCGGTGTGTCGCCGTTGTCTCCGCCGTCCGTGGCGGGAACAGAGCACCCCGTGGAGCCCGTAACGACGGCGCATGAATTGAAATGGAAGATATTCTCCTGGGACACTTCCGCCGATGAGGATGCGGCGGAGACATCGTCTATCGCGGGGCGTGCCTCGCAGGAAGACGGCGTCGATAGCGAGGACGTGAGGCAGTGGGGGGTTGGGGCGGCTTCTTTGCCGAGCAACGGGCTGACGGATCTTGCCAGCACCGTTCGGCTCCTGCTTGAGGAGCCGCTGGCGAAGCTGCGAGAAATTTCCACGCAGTACGAAGAAGAATTCAAGCTCCACCATCGTCGTGTGATTGCCCAGCTGCATGAACTGCTTTCCTCGGACGCGGCTACACTGGAGGAGCTGCAGAGGCGCGTCAAGGCACTGGTGGAAGCGGAGGAAGAAGTAGCGGCGAGGGCGTTAAACGGCGGTCGTGACGCCGTTGATCAGCAGCAACGTCATCGTTATTTTCGCCGCCGTAGGGAGACAACGTCCGTGGAAGCATTTGGGCCCTCCGTTTCCCTGCAAACCACATTAGATCGTGAGGCGGCGGGATGCACTTCCAGCAACGGCGGCAGTGACCGAAGCAACAACAAAAATAACGGTGAGAGCGCAAGGTCCTGTGGATGCGAAAAAGGGAGGCATCGAAAGTGTACCGCGGCAGCCTCCACAAGAGAGTTATTGGTGGCCGAGCGAAAGATCCGCTTTCTGGAGCGGCAACTGCTGCGCCTGGAGGGCGAGAACATAAGGCTGCGGGCGGAATTGCCTTCCCGTCGCGTGGGAGGTGGTGCGGTGGCGAACGTGCGGAGTCTCGAGGGGGTTTTTAACGACATTTTGCAGCGTTGCAATGCACTCTACGCAAAGAAGGCAGCGGAGGTGAATCGCATACAGCGAAGATACGACACGTTACTGGACGCCTTCAGACATCTTCAGCGGCAGCAGCAGCAGCAGCAAGAGGAGAGGCCAACGACGATGATGCCAGTGGCGGCAAATGCGGCACTGCAGGATGCCGAGGTGATGCGCAGCGAGGCGGCGAAGCCGCATTTTGCAGTTGCCAAGAACCGCTGCCATTCTCACCGCGTAGATTGCAGTCCCCAGGTATGGAATAACACGTCCCCGCCGGTCGATCTCGTTGCTCCCCCATCTATGGAACATGTTGGGGATGTCTCCGCGATTGACCACCTGCGTCGTCTGCTGCTGCGGGCCACAAAGTTCGCGACACCTTCCACGGGATCACCACCGCCGCAGGACACATCTAATGGCTTTGCGCTTTCCATTGACCGCGGGTCGAACGCATCCTGCCAGCTCCATGAAAAGGAGGAGACGGGGGATGACATCTTCACTGGTCTGCATGCTTTTCGCGAGGCTGCAGAGACTGCACGAAATAGTGCGCTTAGGGCCCTTTTTGTTGCAAAGCGGGCTGTACAGAAACCACAGTCTCCTTTGCCAACATCGCAGTTATTGCCATATGCTCCTTCCTCTGTTGACTCCGTTGGTGGCGGTTATACGCTTGTGACGGATGTTCATACGCTGCCATTTGACGCGGGTGCGGCATTGGAACGCGAAGAGGCTAATGTCTATCGGGCCGTTGGCTCACTTCAGCGTGAGGCAGCGGAACTGGAACACGCAGCCATAGAGGCCATTTCACGTGAGCGGCAGTTGCTAAGTAGAGTTCTTTTGACCTAGCTGCTTCTTTCCCCCTCTCAACTGAGAAGACAGCCAGGACGACGTGAGGGGCTGCCGTTCCTTGTGTTTTTCGGAGTGATGCGAAAAGAAGAAGAAGAAAAGGACGACACTAGACGACGGTGGATTTTTTTCCTTTGTGCAACGCTGTGCAACGCTGTGCACATCTCTTTGATAAATGCATGCGCCGGTATTTGCTGCGTTTTTATTTATTTATTTGCTCCGTGTGTGGCTGTTGTTGACATGAGTTTGTGTGCCCACATGCAGGGCGGAGAGGGGAACGATGGCCGTGATGATGGGGACTGTGATGTGCTGAGAAGGACGTGACATGTGTTTTTTCTTTTTTTCTTTTTCTACACAACAGCGACCGCAGCGAGGCCCACCATAGACTGTAGAAGGTGAGGGGAACACGGGCGGGCTCGGAGGAACGACGGCTGAAGGATACATCTGAAGCACAAATTCTTCCCGTTATAAATCAGAAGAACTTGACACAGACACAAACATAGATAGAGGGAGTGGGAGGAAAATAAGGAAAGGGGCCAGTTTACCACGTCTTTTCTGTTCCTATTTTCTTTCTTTGCCTAAAAAAACAACAACAGCATATACACATACCGATATACATAAAGTAAATACATATATATCGTGTCGCGATTTTCCTTCCAAGCAGCCTTCGGGCACAATTATAAATAATTACGTATGAGTTCGTACTGTGAGGTGTGCCGCGGACTATTTGAAATCCCCCACTACCACGGTGACGGGGATACTCCAGTGAGAGTTCCAGACGCTCTCTCCCCTTTACGCGCTGCTACTGCCGCTGCATCGTCCACTGCTGCGCCGGTGTGTGGTCGCAGTAGCAGCAGCTATCGCAGTAGCCCGGCGTTTGCCGTAAGGAGTCGTGGCAGCAGTTCGCAGCAACGGCGTCAAGGATCCTTGAGTCGTCGTCGTCGACCGTCAGCGTCGTCTTCTCATTTCTCGCCGGCCGCTGGGCGGGAGAGGGGTGGGTCACGGCGGGGATCGCCGCGAACACCATCGGCCGTGGGTGTAGAGCGAGAAACCGCCTCCACGCTTCTGCGCATGAGTTCTCCGGCTCGCGCCAGCGCACTGGTCCGCACCCCGAGTCCTGGCCTTTTTTTACGGAACTGCAGCGGAAAGACATCAACGAGTCGTCGACACGCGCGAAGCTGGCGGAATATTCTCACGCCGCAGTCCAAAGAAAGGGTACGGTCGTTGAGTGCAGGCCACGTGGCCAAAGAACACATGAAAAGGCGTTTGGACCATCTGCATGAGACATTAGAGCGCATCCGCGAGGCGGTGCGGAGGGACAACGCGGCCGCTGGCTCACGCGGACCATCGTCAACTCTTCATCCTGCTGCTGCTGTTTTTGCTTCTGGCGGTGTTGGTGGCGACGCTACGGCGAAATCGTGGCATTTAGACGACGACGACGACAACAACAAAAGCAGCAGCAGTGGTAGTAGCGGTCAAAGCAATAGCGACGGAGTCGGTGTAGGTGTTGCATCGTCACAGCCCGTTTTTTGCGGTTCAGCAGGCGGTACAAATGACGGGTTGCCGAATTTATGTCCCTGCCGTAGTTCCTCGTGTAGTCGCGGGTTGAGCTTTGCCACGTCACGGGGATCTCCGTCTGAAACCATTTTCCCACGGGAGGTCACGGAGACGCACGCATACGACGGGAAAGATGCCGCCGAATTGCGGCCATTTTCTTCTTCGTGCGAGAAGAGTTCCTCTTTGCGAGAGGGTCTGACGCCGTTCATGGCCTCGCCCTCCTCTTCTTCACCTGGCACGACTTCTGCAGCAGCAGCACCTACGACAGGCCCCCAACGCCACCTGTCGGCGGGTGTGGCGGCAATTTCAGCAGGGACGCAAACATCCGAGTTACCGGCAGCGACATTGCCGAGGGGAGAGTTTCCCTCTTCCCCTTCATCCGCAAGCCGCGGGACTGGGGCAAATAGCAACGCCGCATTTACTCACCTGGAGGCGCTTCGGGAGGGATTTGTGGAACTTTGTAGCGCTGTGCGGGAAGATCTCCAGGCTCTGCACATTCGAGTGAATGCAATACAGAGACCGCAGGCGCAGCAACAGCAAAAAGAGCCTTCCACTTCGGAGAGTGTGCCACCTCAGCATGTGGAGGGGGGGGCCCATGAGAATGCTGCCGCGGGATTATTGCAGACGTCGACTTCGTACGAAAAGCTGTTGGCTGAGCTGCAGCAGTACACCGTTTTGACCGTCCACAAGGCTCTTGAGCAACAGAAGCAGCAGCAACAGCAACAGCAACAGCAAGAACCAAAGGAGCGTTACGGGGGTCATTACGGCTTTGCTCCGACGCTTTCAGAAGCTATGCCCTTCACGTCACTCCATTTACAGTCAATAAAGCCTTCACTTCCACAGTGGAACTCTTTGGCCACGGATGACATGTACGCTTGGTCATCAGAGACATTTGATGCCCACGTGCGTTCCGCCGTCCGGGCCATTTTACATGAGGACAGCTTCCGGTACGATGCGAGGGAACTACTTGCAGAACAACAGGCTCAACGAAGTGAAATGAAGGCGTTGCGGCACGAGTGGAAACGCCGCTGCAAAGAATTGGAAGAGCAACTTAACGCGCTTACAGACGCCACGGAGTCTATGCGACTGGACGTGGAGGAGTTACGACCGCAGGCCGTAGGACCACCAACGCCACCTCCGCCGCCAGCCAAAATATCATCTGTTGCACCCACGTCTACGCTGTTGCCGCAGCATACTTTGATGCCACCTTCTAGTGGGGTGGATCCTCCTCTTCCCGCCCGAGCTGCGACCCTCGCCGACGCGGTGCCAGAGGTATGGGAAGATCGGTTGGTGAAACGCGTTCAACAACTTATTGCAGACTCCGAGGAGCGTTGGTTACAACGTGTCCAAGGGGAAATTGTGCAGCCAGTGCTTGAGCATGTGCGCCGGTTGATGTCGGCTCATCAGTCTATGATTGAAACTGTTGTGGAGAGCCGCTGTGCGCAGTTTGAGACCTACGTTGACCGTGGCCGTCACGGGTGGGAGGTACAGGTTGCAGAGCTGCGTTCGCGTGTCAGTTCGCTTCGTGGCGACACGCATCGTGCTCTGAAAGATCTCTGTCAGAACCTCAACATGGCCTGCCCAGGACTCTGAGGTTGCGTTCTTGTGTATAGTGTTTATTTCTTATAACATTGTACCAATTGTCTCTCCCCGTCGTTGGACTAGTCACGACACGAGAGGTTTTTGCTTGTTTATTTCCAACCCCTTTTTTCCCCCCATTGTGTGTCACTTTTGTTCTGTGCCTTTTTCCTTCTCCTTCCCTCTTTTTTTTTCTCTGCGCTTATGGAAACGGGGATGCGCAGAAGAGATGCCACTTGCGGCACCAATTTTTTTTGCGAGACGCCCGGGCCAAACGTCATGGTTGAGTCTTTCCAGCAGCAGCGTCGGTTCTGCGGTTCGGCGTCGCTCGTCACCACCGCCATCGCCATCTTTGGTGTCTGTCTCCGCTGCTGTTATGCTCGTTAACTGCGGCACGGCTCTGGGTTCGTTATGTTGCCAGCGTCGGGGTCAAAGCGCGCTACACAAACTACTGCAGGACCCCAGCGATCCGTATCTGCGGCCGATTCAGGACCTTGATATGCCGCAAATAGCCGCCATAGCAAAGAATGGAAAGAAGGAGGCTCAACATCTCTTGGATGGACTGACTGCCATCACAGTCTCTCTCTCTGTGCAGCTGGGTGGCAACGGAGTGACGGAGGAGGATATAGACGCCGCATTCTCTGTGTACACGGAAGTGTTGCGTCATGCACCAGGAACGGCGGGCGCCGCAGGCATCGGTGATGACGCGGGAAGCGTGTCGGAGGATGTTTGGCGAATGGAATGGGAGCGGCCACTGGAGGAGTTCCGCGTCGTGTTTCGCTTGACTGGTGACACGCGGCTCTCTTAAAAAATATTTGTGGTTATGTCACCCGTATGGATTTTGCCCGATTTTTTTTTTTTTTTTTTTACTTTATTATTTTTATTAAATGTGGCTACGCTGCGAGATGGGCTGATGGCCGTTTTTTTTTTTTTGCTTTTATTACACCGAAGTTTTATTGTGACAGCGTCGGTGAACTTATCGAGGGGGGCGGCGGGAAGGCGAATAAGGTGACGCGGCCTTTGCCCACTTATCGTTTTAAATTGAAGAGGGCACATAGAAAAAATAGAAAACATGTCCACAGCTGAGGAGGCGGAGGCGATGTGGTTTGCCGCCCAGCGAGAAGCGTATGGCAACGAAAATGAAGAAGACGAGGACGAGGATTTGCTGCGGGGTGTGCCGTGCGCTGACGACGTTGTTCCCATGTATGGAAACCCCGCCATGCAACAACAGCCACAGTTGGTGGATGCTGTCAAGGAAACCACAGGCATGAGGGACGATTTGTCGTGTGTGGAGCCGTCGTTGCAAGCGGCAGCGACGACGACGGTGGCAAGTGGCATCTGCGTGTATCCGCCGCTGTCGCGGGTGAGTTTCATGATGCGTGGCGACAACGGTGTGGTACGTTGGGTGACCGCATCCGGACTGAAGGCGGAAACGGCCTCGCGGAAACGTGGAATGGAAGGCAGTGGGGAAAAGGAGGAAGAGGAGGAAGAAGAGAAGGAGTGGGTGAGGGACGTGCGGGATTTGCGCAGACGACATGGCGGCAGCGGTCTTGGGCATGTGAACATCCCTGCACTTTTGCAAGGACTTTACGATGAGGCGGCGAATGGCGACGAAAGCCGCGTGGTGCCGCCGACAACACCGACGCCATTCCCACCCGAGCAGCGGGGGACGAAGAGGAGGGGGAGGGACGAGGAGGCGCTGTGGGTCATGAAGTACAGTCCCAAACACTTTCGCGAGCTTCTCAGCGACGACAACACCAATCTCAGGCTGCTTCAATGGCTGAAGAGTTGGGATGCATACATCTTTCAGGACACACCTGCCACACGTAATACAGGCAATAATGATAACGTTAGCGCAATTTCTA